TGGCTTAGCATTTGTCGAACAAGATCTTCTGTAATACCCGCTGATATATTTTGTACAAATATGGAACGAATATAACGTTCAACGCGTACTGATGGCATTTTTCTAGAATAAAATATTTCTCTTGATAATAAGTGCAATTTTTTTATTTTTTCATAATAATATTATTGACGGAAGAAAGCTTTTAATTTAGTAATAAATAGATAGTTCGAGAAAAAGAACGATTATAAATAATTTTTCTTGATTAATAGCTTTGTTTTTCTTTTGCGAATGCTTGAATATCGAAAAAAGGAAAAAATCACACAAGCACATCTTTAACGAGCAAAATCCCATCGAGATCGATCAGTATCAGCATTTTTTTCGCTAGATGACACTTTAGGCCACCATGATGCTGATGAATTTTCTTGTGCTTCATTAGAATTCGAAAACTAGAACGAATTTATAGACTAATTAAATAAAGGAAAAGGTTTTAAAAGTAATTTACTGGATTAGTTATTTCATTTTCTTGTCTATCGGATGTAATAATATCATCAGAAGTTGGATCAGATACTGGTAAAAATGTTAACCAAGAATTATTTTTTGTTGGCTTTGCTATTTCAGTTTGTGATGGGACAGCAGCAGGTGACATAGGTTCATTCCACTGAGTACTTCGTTGTGTATCTTTAGTAGATGGCCATATCAATGCTTCTTCACTTGATATTTGCTGTCGCGCCAAAGAGATATTTGCGCTTTCTGGCCATGATGAATCATATTTTGATGCCCATTCTATTGGCGAATACGGTGTCCACGAGACATTTGGAGTTGAAATCTCATTAATACTGGTTGATGAAATTGCTATGATGGGAACCTTTGGTGTTGACAAATTTGTTGATATACTATTTTGACGATCAAGAAGATGATTTATTTGAACGAGTACGTCAGGTGTATTGGGCGATTCAATAGAATCAGTAAATACTGATGATTGTTTAGCTGGTTGACATGAAAGTTTATTTGGTCGTTGAATTGGACCAAGTTCATGTTGTGCAACTGTTGGTAATGGTTCAATACTGAAATTTAATAAACAGACAAAACTAGGTTTCACATAAACTCTATTCTCTTGAGGATTCTTTGCAAACGCAATTTTTCACATATTTATTGATAAAATCAGGTCAAGCTACTCTTATTATATCATTCGATTTGAACTAGACTCATAGTAGATCAGATAGCTTTAACAAATCTCAGTTAATGCATCGAAAAAAATCGTAAAATAAGCTCTAAAGATTTTTTTGTCTCGCAATTATGCTACCTCGTTGTTCTCACTGTAAAACAAAAGAAAAAAACGATCTACAGTTTGAGTTTTGATATTCGTTCTACTCGTACTTTTCTTTTACAGCAGATGTAGATACTGTCGATTTTTCTTCCATATTTTTCATTAGCGTAGATGGCGACATCATAGTTGAGATATTATTAGTTGTCAAATTTTGTTGTGTTTGTGTACGTTCATCAATATCATTTATTTCATCCATAGAAAATTCTGTTTGGCAAACGTATCGATCAGAATCTGAGATAAATAATCAATTAGATCATTGCATTAAAAATTTCGACTCACTTGATGATGGAAAAGACATTAAATTAAGTATGTTAAATAAACGTTTAAAATTATTAAATAGCAGAGAAATGAATTTTAAAAATGTTAAAAATTAAAGATTAATTAATTTGTGATTCTTCCGTTGACTCCTCTGGATGTTTTCGGTCTGCATTTAAATAAAACACCGCTTTTTATACAATCGTATTGAGTAATTACAAATAGAGAACGCAAACCCAGAAAAATAAAATTAAAAAAAAACATGCACTTACCAATCGGCACCAATGTAGAATGAGAAAAAGAAAACGTTTCGTTCTGCGTATCTGCTACACTTAATATATTATTCAGAAGTATTGCAAGAATGAAGATATCGCCGATGATAAAATAGGTATCAGACTCCGTCGTCGTCCTATGTATCTGAAAAAAGTTAAGAAATTTCATTGAAAACTTTATTGATTGACGGTGGTAATAATAGAAGTGAGGTTATCAGTGAGCAACTATCGAAAGTTACAGAGGACTTGGTTGATCTTCAAAAGAAAAGAAAATCTATATTTTAATAAACAGCAAATCATGAAGAAACAAAAAAACTGCACTTGGATCAAATACCAATCTTAAGCTACAAATAACTTTCCTCTCCGTAATTTTGTGCATTTATTGCCATAGAATTTTCGTAGGACGAAGTGTATTTATTTGAAAATTTAGAAAAAAGCCATATATATATATGCAAAATAAGTTGAGAGAATAGGAGTATTTCACTGTTTGACAAGAAAATTCAATTAACAAGTATTACTGTTGAACGACAATTTAAGTTCGATTTTGTGTGGACAGTGGCATGTTTGCAATACGTCTTTTTTTCGACCATATTTCAGGTGAACAAGCGAGACAAACAAGTGGCATTAAAAGCTGAACAAAATAGGGCGTATAATGTAAATAATAAGAGAACGTTTTAGAGATGAACGTTGAAATAAAACAAATTCGAATAATTGAAACTAAAGCTAAAGGAAACCAAAATAATAAGTAAAGAGTTGAAATAACGATCAACTGTAATGTTAGTTTTCTTGTCGATCGCCATTTCAATGTTCGTTTCATTTTCTTTGCTTGAAATAAAACACGAACAAGTAAACTGACACTTGCGAACGGTATTAAAAGCGATGGTAGCAATACATTTGTTGTCCAATCAAACATTGATAGCCAAGTAGCATTACTATAACAGATAGGACCGCAAAGAAATGATGAGTAGTCGAAAACATTTTTGCACGGATATAAAATAATGCATACAAAATAAAATCTCGGAATATAGATTACGCAGAGAATCAAGGGAACATAATGCCATATGATTTTGCCTCGTTGTGTTTGAACCCAGCGAGAGTGAAATATAAAAATATGTCGTTCGATTGAAGTCCACGTCATCAATGATACATTGGTTGTTTGCAGACCATAAACATACCAAATCCAAAATAAACAAAAGCTTTTCGTAGCTGGTTGAACATAGCCGACACGAAGATATTGCAGTGCTATTGGTAATTCTGTTGTTGTGTCCAAGAACGATATGATAATTATTGCAATCATTGAATGGTTATTTATGTGACAACGAAATTGACGATCAGTAACAATTTTATATAAAATATAAATTGATATTAATATGGAAGGAACTGCTAATGATGTAAATAAATATAATTTTATATAGCGATCAGTTATGAGCTCTGCAGCTGTTCGTGCATCACCTTCACTTTTATTCATTTTTCTATTAGATGAGTTGTTCTATTTAGAATGATAATGATTTTTATAAACCTTCTTTTTACAGAATGGCTCTTATTTTTTTCTCTCAATTATAATTACCCATTCATAGACATATTAATTGTAAATGTTCACTGTTATCATCCGTAAAACACAATGAAGGCAGTATCCTACTTACGCATGTCGACTAGGTAACTGTTTCAGTTCAATTTTTTGCCCTACACTAAAAGAATTCATTCGCATGAAATCTCCGTACGTTCAGACGTATTGACAAGAAAAATAATTAAACGAAGACTATACCAAAGAAGATTTGCCAGGAACTTTTTCTGTGTATTTCAAATAGTCTATGGCGTGTTTTACTTGTACGACTTCCAAAATATCTAATGAGCTACGAAGCGTCCGTCAATCATTCGCTATCCATACGACAGATAGAGTAGCAAGAAAGAATTTTAATAATAATATCCTACGACATCGTTACACTAGATGCAGCGAAACCCATTATTCTATGTGTAAAAGAAACTAGTAAACAACTTGAGAGAATTCCGTAGTAAATTGTTTCCTTTCGTACTCTCGTTTTTCTTGAAGGTCAGCTAATTGGGAGTTTTTGTTGATGTTTTCTTCTTCTGTCATTGACGAAGAATTAGCTTCGGAGAAGTTGCTGTAGGTGTCTTCATGCGAATTGACAATAGTTCGAGTACTTATATTAATTCATGAATATTTTGAACAAAATTAATTATTCCTTCGATACAGAAATGCGAAGATTTTCTGAAAAAAGTTTGTCTATATTTGTTGATGGCATCCAAACAATTTTACCGTCAAAAACTTGCCACTGATATACTTTAATATGGAAACGAGAATAAAATAGGGGTAAATATAAACCAATACCTAAAAATATAGCAATCTATATCTAATTTTAAAATTTATTCATATCTAATTCATTAAATAACAATACTTAACAACACAAAGTTATATACAATTAATTATTAAAGTAATAGAAAAAAGTCTTGAGGGTGCGGAGTGTGGGCGTGGGTGTTCTTATTTCTCTTTACACCTATACTCCACGCAAGACATTTTCTAAGCTAACTTTTTTCTTATCACTGATCGCCATTCCCAGCTCATATATACTCTTTCAATTAATTTATAAGTACTTGTCAATTATAGATTACGTTCAAATTAATTAGATAAGTCGATAAATTCATTGATAGTCATTTGTTAACAGTGATAATATATTGAATTAAAAGATGTTGAATTACAAAATTAGATTAATCAATTTTTTTAAAGGCATTCTTTCGCCAGAATAGATACTACCGTATTAAGTTAGGCAATATTGATATATTTTAGATACGGATTGCTATAGGTTTAGATATTACATTAAATGCGTGCCAATAAAATATTTGTGTTCAACAATTTTATCTAAAATAGTATATATATACACAGGATGTCGCCTGTAGTGACCAGTAACCAAATGAGACCTTCATAAATTGTTGTAGCTAATTTGAATTTAATAGAAAATAAAAAGCCGTAGACCAGCTGTTTACTGTGAATATATCAAGGGAAGTAGAATATTGACTTAGTCTTCCTCACGCAGTGTAATGTATTGCAAAACAACATTCACTCATCATGTATAAGAAACATGCAGCTGATGATCAAGAAATTCCAGTAACTTACATTTTTATTATTTCTCGCATGTCCTACTCTTCTACAGAAGATTCCACGTTTAACAAAACCAATGAATTAGCTATATTTAGAGTACTAGAAATATTCTTGAGTCCCGTATTGTGTTCTCATATATGTTTTTCGCGAACATAGAGTGCAAAAAAAAGCTAATTTAGATACCAGATCTAACTGATAAAAGTATTTTTCTAGTAGACAATTGCTTTAAGTTAGATTCATATTTTAATTAGAATCATTAAAGAAATGTAGCGTGCCTTTAGTTGATAAGGCACATTGGCATCAGGGCTTTACTTAACATAAAGTTGAGAATCAATTCAATCTGTTGATTCAAATAATTTCGATGAATTATCATCGTTAAAAATTATTTGGATGAATAGTTCAATTTCAGCTAGCTCTATTTGAGGGTTAGAGAATGAAATCCTACTGCAGATCTACTGGCATTTTCATTATTATTTAGTATATATTTTCTTTTACACTTTTCAATAATTCTTTTCGATGTATAGTGATTTCAAATGTACGTTCAACGATTTCTTCGATAGATATCGAATGATCTTTTTTTTTTATGAAACTCTATTGGCTTCCCATATTCTCCCAGGCGATGATAATCAATACTTTGTCATGTGACACTCGTTGGATTCTTGAATCAAGTACAATACGTTATAATTTCCATCAAATTATGAATGTTTATATATCTTATCTAATTTAATATCACACTAAAAAAACAGCCGATATTATTGTTTGCATTCAACGAACCGTCACCATGATGAATCAACATTGTTTTGAAAATCTATTTAAAATAGGAGCTTAGAATCGTTACAATTTTTTTTATTTTGTTCTCATTTCTTACAAGGACTCATAGAGCCCGCTAAATTACGCGACATTTTCTTTTTCTTTCTTGTGTAAGTTGTCAACAAAATAAGGTCTTGCATCGACACGTGGATGAGTGACTCTGTTAAAAAGAGAAAAAATATAGTCATTTTCGTTCTTCTGAAGACATGCATTAGTAACCACTCAGTATAAAAAAAAATACGATCGACCATTATGGCACAAATATCGACTGTAGAATATGAAACAACTATTTTTACATTACCACCGGATAATATCGGCCCAAATAAAGCCACTTTATTACATGCTCGAACAAAAAATAATAATAGCAATTTTTATAAAGCAATTCTTTATATACATGGATTTATTGATTATTATTTTCAGTGAGTTGTTTTCAATTGATCTTTCCAAGGCGTAAATAGTTTATTTTCTTTTTCATACAGTGATCATGTTTGTATGCGTTTTTTGGAAAAAGGTTATGATTTTTATGCGCTTGATTTGCGTAAATGCGGTCGATCGATAATTTCACCTGAGCACGATCAATATAAACATTATTGTAATGATCTTCGTGAATATGATGAAGAAATTACACTTGCTATTGAACATATCACTAAAGAAGCAAAGACTCAAAATAGAAAAATACTGCTTTTCGGACATTCAACTGGTAAGAAACGTTTTAAAAGCGATAGAAAGTATTCGAGATTTCGTATTCCGGCGAAATTCGAATAGCATCTTGTTTATATAACACGTTATATACGTAGGTGGTCTTATTGCTACTCTCTACGCAAGTTCTGGTTCAAGAAATGCTGATATTGATGCTGTTATTCTCAACAGTCCCTACTTATCTATAGTAGAATCGACTGCAATTGAATCAGCACTTTTAACTGTTCTCAGGAAATTAAAAATCTCTCAAGATGTTGATGCCGGTTGGTATGGTCGATCAGTACATGTGTCAGATCGAGGCGAATGGAATTTCGATTTAAACAAAATACCAATAGATACAGTTCGATTGCACGGTTCATTTTTTTCTGCTGTCCATAGAATTCACCAAGATTTGATAAAAGGACGAATTAAAATGAAATGTCCAGTATTATTAATGTGTTCAAATCGTTCAATGCATGCAGAAAAACAATGGCGTGATGAATATGGAGAAGGTATAAGAGATTTCTATTTTTCTCTTACGAAACGCTTGACGGGAAAACTCTTTCACTGTCACCTTTTAGTTTTAGGTCGTGTATGAAAATTGCTCAACATTAATTACCGGTTAGAAGAATTTACGTATTATCTGTTGTTAGAGATTTATCGGAACAGTCGACGAAGATAGCAGATAGATTATGATAAGTAGCTGAAGAAAGAGTTGTTCTCAGATCTGAGGAGAAGAGCAAAACCGTGTTTTTTCAATGATATTTGTTTTCCTGTATTTCGATTTCGATTCGTAGAAAAAGTCGCTTAATAGAGGACTTGTAGATCATAGAATAATGGATCTTTTGGAAAATTTTCCAAACTAGAAAATGAGAACTATGAAGAAATGATTCGCCCATTAATGTTGTGTACTTTAAATGCATAATTAAACCCTAAAAGGTGATTCAAGAGTTTGTTCGCCGATCAGTTGTGTATATTTTTAATCAATTTATTCTTTTTAGCTGATATTGTTGTCAATGTAAAAGCCATGCGATGTGCAGCTACTATGATTAGTTCACAAGTAACAATTTATGAAATTGAAAATGCCAAACATGATATTTTCTTGTCCAAACAATCTGTTCGCGAAAAAGCTTTCGACTTAATGTTTCGATGGCTTCGACATCTTGAGGAGGATTGGTGAATTTTTTAATGTTATGATAATGAAAATTTAATTAAACATTGCTCGTCAGTTTACTGTCTTGTAAGAATTTACAATTGTGTGGGCGTGGGTGTATAGGAGAAAAACAAGACATCCACGCCCTATAACTGCACTTCAACTTCGATTCCACTAAGTCGAAATCGTTTGAATATGAGTCTAACAATGATATCAATGAATTGCAGGATTATTCTTCTTCTACAGAATCTGTAAATAAGCGTTGTTCAAGCCCATGGCGACCAAATGTTTTTATCATTGTAGGAATTTGCGCTGAATTGTTTAACAGTTACTATTAATCAACAGGAGTATTTTGGAGTTGCCCACGTCTGTCACAGACCGCGATAGACGGCTTCAAGAGACTATAGAAGATCATGGATAAGTAAGCTATGATGCAGAGAAATATGTCCCAATTATGAATAAAAAAAGGCCAGTTTTTAGTTGAATCGCAACAATAGTTACATTGTGTTTAACATTTTTAATCACAATGGGACTGCGCAAACAGCTCTTTTTATAGAAATCTATGGGAATATTTCACTAGAATATTAAAAGAAGATAATTTTGAATTTCGTCAAAGTATGAGACAAATAATCATCCTTTTTCATTTATTGACAGTCTGGTGAGATGATAATATCATCTTCTTATCAATGGTAACAACCAACTGTTTCGTTAGATAATGCTATCTGTGTAATTCATCATTTGATTACTCACAAAAAAAGAAATATAATAATAAAAATGCATCGAAAAATCTTCATTTATTTGACATTGATCATTGTGACTTATTTTCGCTAAAACCTTTGAGATTTATTCAATGGCAGAGCTATACGAAAAATTACAGGTAAACTCTTATATAAAGAAATATTTATTGAAATAAACATTCAACAAATTAAATTGTATTACAAATTTGTTACGTTTTATCGCGTATATATTTTTTTTCGCACATTTAAGATTTGCGGGAAAAACTAAAAGAAATCCATTTCATAAGGATAGAAAACAAAAGCATTTCATTTTCTCGTTAATAATCAAAAGGTCTTAATCGGCTTCTTTAATTATTTTCCTGCAGAAGTTGCTTACAAGCTACGCAGATTTGCCGAAAGATATTATAACAGACAGAAAGCTCAACGAATCTGTTTACCTCATTCGCGGCAAAGATGGCACACGACGGGCATGGCATTTTATCCTTGTTCCCAGTCACAAACGTGCTGATATAAAGGCTCATTCAGCGGGTTCAACTATCTCTATCGATGATTTTGGTAGCTGTGTTAAGTATCGAAATAACAGAGATGAAATCAAATCCATGTCTGGATATGGAGAAGAGCCACCAAAAATACTGCGAAATTGGATGCAAAAGCACTATGGTAAGAAAAGTCAACCTTTTTTCAACTATCAAAATAATAAAGCGGATTAAGGGACAAGAAAAAAAATACCATAGTTACAGGTTTTCATATCCATCATCTCTTTTTCACTAAGAAATTTCAGAAATTATCTGAATGTGAAAATTTTAACAGTATGTATATTATATTTACTAATCTAATTAAAATACCTTTATCGGCTTCAACACTTTATACGTCTAGACTAAATTAATTCAGAAATAGAACATTAATTTGTAGTAGTATAATAACTACAACTACGATGAGAACTTCTTCTCTTCTCAAATTATTTCTTTAATATAGGTTATGTTGCTGTTGATGAAAGCGTCAATTTAACGTATACAAACGATGACATTCGACTATGTACTATACAGCGTACCATACCGCAACAGACTATAGGTGTCGTTTCCCATTATTTTTCACCACAACGGTTTCATTACATCACACTAACTGAAGATTCGCCACCGAGTTTAACTCGTCGAGCAGGACTAAAATCCTTTGATCGAATCATCTTTTTAAATGGTGTCAATATTGAGAATGACACTTGCGATGATATGCTTTTTCGCTTTGATACTGCACGACACCTTCCAGTTCAAATGCTTGTCTGCAGCCCAGCTACATATGAACATTATAAAACTAATAAAAAGCAATTTCATCTTGATCTTCCAAGTATTCAACATGTAAAGCCAGTATTTGCAACATCAAGTAATAAGCATACATATAAATATTACGTATAGTCTAAAATTTATACGGCTTATCAATTTAATTGTAGCATCGGATTTTGATGCAGATACAACATCAGTTTCTATTGACAATGAAAGTTTTTATGCTGTCCGATGGGAAAACAGTAACATTGTTTCGACAGTATCTCAATCAGCCGTTTTTAAGTCACCTCAATATACTCATTTGAATGATATCTGTTGCATCAAAACAGCAGGACAATATAAAAAAGGACAAATTATTTTGAAAGGTCTGCTTTTATGAATAAATATTGTTCGAAAATCAACCAATTCGTTCATTTTCAGGTTCACGGCATGATTGTGAAAAGTTGAAGACGCCTTATTTTGCATCGAAAATTGGCAATGTTTTCGGTACATTCAGCAAATTTTTCATTAGAAAAACTCCAAATGGCTCCCACGTTACTGTAATTTGAATTTTCTGTTTTATATACTGCACAACCGAAAAGAGATATGATAATGGAGTATTTATTTATTTTTAGAATCTACAATCCGATACAATACAAACTGATTTAACTATTCACCATACAAATGATAATAATACAAGTAAACATCATACTAATGCTCTTCAGCACATTCAAGATCGTATTTTCTAATAAGGAAACATTCTCAGATGTCGGAGAGCTTTTCAACCGGGAACTGATGCATCTTGTAAATCCTAGTGAACTCTGTTTATCCTAGAAAAAGTTCATGTGTGTGACTTTTTTTATGAGGAGATAGAAAGTTTGCAGTGAACTTTCACTACACTCTAAAAAAATAGTTTTATTCTGGAACTTATGAAAAAGTTCAGTAGGGTACTAAATCAAAAAAGGATCTTCTCCTGGACATTCAGGAAGAACCATTTTAGATTCCGTAGGCGGAAAAAAATGTTTCGTAGAAGAATTTAAAATGTTTGAAGTGCAGTAGAATATATGAGACCAGATATTTGTAGTAAGACGAAATAATCAGATCTTGGCCTGAAACATTGGGTGTATAAAAAAGTTCAGAGCTTGTAAAAACTAGATGTTGTGTTGATTGTTCATTGAAAATGGACCATACATTAAAGGTTTCATATCTCGGTGAGACATTTAAAATTTCTGAAAATTTTAATGCAATCGAAATTTCATGTCAAAATTGGACCACTTGATCTTACTGCAAATATCGGCTTCTATAGAAAAAGTTCACCATAAACGTTCGATCGTCTTATAGAGATAAGCCATAAGTACGCATTGTTTCTAGAGTAGAAATAGTTCACCAAAGTCTATAAGATAGCAATAACGCCCGACTGAATAGCTGTCTGATACGTGAGAAAACTCTCGTGTAAGACTTTTAAATGAAAACTATGTAGAATGAACTTCAACCGATGCGGTTTCCTAATGTTTGTTTTTTCAGTATACAGCATTCAATTTAAGATAGATGCCGCTTAAGATCATGAGTCAACTAGTGTTGTGCTGTAGGATGGTTCTCGTAAAGACATAAATGTAGACACATACATGAAACTTATTTTCGTTAAAAGCAATACAAGTTACTTTTTTTATAATGAATTTTTCCTCGATATTTACATAGGTAAAAGTTGAATTTGTTGAAACCTTGTTAATTCCTAGGCGGGGTCTAGATATGAGATAATGCTTGAGACCTGAACGAACCCTCACTCCATACCGGATCCAGTGCCGGAAACCTGATTGAATGGCAACACCCTAGATGAAAACCGTATTGAATATTGCATTACTCAAATACTATGATACTACCGCCAAAAATCATTTCTGATATAATGACTGTGACGCTTTGAAAAAATGTTTTTCTATTGGTTTTCTCTTTGATTTATCTTAGGTACACGTACTACATTGGAAGAACTTCCCAACGAATTATTTTACTGTATATTCACTTTTATCGATATTCAACACTTATATAAAGCTTTCGGGGAGCTTAATTCACGACTAAACCATAATATTCAATCCTATAAAAACTTTTCTCTAATATTCGACGATAAAGTTGATCTGTTGTTGATGAACTCATATGCACCTTACGTCACTCGTTTGATTATTCCGACGTCTATCCATTGTGATTTTAAGCAATTTCCTAATTTACATGAATTGATATTGTGTACTGAAAATTCACAGCAATTTGCACAGATTCAACCGAATGTCATTTCCAATCTCACTCGTCTATCGTTTTTGTTAGGATCTAAATTCACTTTACCACAAGAATTAACTTGGGATATTTTTTCCAATCAATTCCCATCTCTTCGGCACGTTAGTTTCGGTTGTATCAATGTGTCTCTCCGTAATTCATGGACTAAGTCACCTTCTCTCCAGTTTGTATCAATTCTTTCTTGTAAACCAATGTGCATTCCGGCTATTCTTACTGCATGTCCTAATCTTCAACATCTTCAGGTTAATATTTTATATAACGATCATAATGATCTTATCACTTCATCTTCACCATTGAATCATCCACTTCGACGGCTAACCCTTTGGAGTGATTATGCCGAGTTAACCTTCGATGCTATTGACAATATTCTTACTTATACACTAAACATTGAATCTTTCTATTTACAAACAATATATTCTATGTCATTGATTGATTTAGCCCATGATCTAGTGAGGCGACTCCATTATTTGTCACGGTTCGATTGTTATATTAGAGAAAAGTTAACAAAAAATGATAGAATTAACAATTTAACTGATCTACATCAAATTCATCCGTGTTTTCATCGAGTTCAATCCATAGAAGAAAATGACAAATTTCGAGTTTTAGCTACGAAATAAATTTTCAATACGCTATGCTAGAAACTTGTTTTGATATGATAACAGTTTGTAATTTTTGCTAATTGTTTCATTGATCGAATATGAAATTTTATCATGCGTTTGTTATTATTCAAATAAATGTTTCTCTGTTGACTTGTCACTCACTTTTGCATTCCTAAAACGATGCATTTTGTCCATGGGGTACAAGTTTAAATGAATAATAAGCCAAATATATAGAATGTATCTACGTGTCCGAGATGTCTACCACAGCTGAGAACACACCACCATGCTGTCAAGAGGGTATTGGTGTTAGTAAACTCAACTTTGGTTGACAGTAAAAATGTCGAAAAAAATTTATAAAAATAAAATTAAAAAATCTAAAATAAGGAGTGCTTTGAAAGATATTCGATGAATATGTTATTATTGTAGTTGTAGGATCGATGGCGACTTATGTTCGTTTAAATCTATCATTGGCCTATCAGACATTGCAAATAGAAAAGAATAAGAAAATTATTCTTCTATTATTCATTATTCGAGTGATGAATATACATATGGAAGCCGCCACGGAATCGACACGCAACATCAACAGTGATTTAAATTTCATTACTTCGAATAAGGGACAACCTCTTTTAATAATGAACTAATTCTGAACACGACATTTTTCATGAATACCTACTCAGTTTTCGACATTTTACTGTAGATATTTTCACTGTCGACCAAAGCTCAGAGATTCATTGGTGTTAGCCTTCTGCCAACGAAAACTCACACCCTAATATATATGTTCCAAGTTCAATTAAGAGACAAAAAACTTCGATCAAAGAAAATAAAATTATCAGAGGGTGGGCGTCGTCAGAAACGTCTGTTAATCGAACAAAAAAATAACTCAACATTTTCCTTTTCTGGTAAAACTACACAGACGAAATTTGATTCAGGATACAGTGCGTATATTATTTCCCTCAACATAACATTCGCCTCTGATAACAATCCGTTCTTTTTATGGAATGAGGCGTCCCAACAGAGTATGAACAAACTGATGATGTCATTCAGCGGCATGTAGTCATTGAAAAACCTTCTTTCTTAAGAGTACAAAAACATATGCATTTGACGAAACCTGTCTTGGTTTCGAATCAAAAAAATAAAAATAACGTTTCCATCGTAAAAGCAAGTCTTTGATTGCATTGGGAAGCTGATTTCTAAATCGAAACGACGGCAGGCAATCGGTAGTGTACTGTATCATCTAAGACAAGGGAAAACCAACCACGGTTTTCTTATAAAATTTCTCAGCTATTGACAGCAGGCACACTCTGTCTTAAATCACCTTTAGCGTCAATGAATAATATTTGAAATAGAATGAAAAGTGAGTACCGATCAGTGCTGGAAGAACAACTATTTAACACATTAATTGTTTGATCATCTAATTGTAATTCTTCGGTGTCTAGTTTTAATCGTTGATAAAGTTGTGTTAATGTATCTGGTTGTCGAATACCCAATATTCGTAGACTAACAGCCAAATCCGAAAAAAAATTGAAATCATCAACATAACCACCACATGTTGTTACTATTGTTTCAATTTTTGATATAATTGTATTGCGATATCTAACTGGAGTATATGATATAATATTCAGTTTTTTCATTGGCAGCGATGCATCATGAGTGTGTGACTGTCGAATATGAGAAAAGCAAAGCCGTTTGTTGTTCATGAGCATCAGACGATACCAATTAAATTTCATTGATTTAATCTATAACAAAAACAACCCGAAAATACGTATGTTAACTCAAAACAAGTAGGATTATCTTTTTTTGTAATATTTGAAAAGATTATTTGTTTCTGATATTCACATTCTTTAAAGAGATCGACAATATCGCTTTATATCATTGATATATAATATAAGTGAATGGAGATTGAAGTATAACGATGAGCAATATTAATATATTTAATGAATCTGTATAAGCTGAAAGAAATAGGCTAGAACGATAGATACTTCATAAGTAAATTTTACGAGTCAATCATTAATTATCAAAGAGAAATAGATAGTGGTCATTTCTCAGTTCTTATTGATACATTAGATTTACAAGTCAATGACTTTTCTTATCTATAATATTCTTTTTCTTTCTTATTGTTGGTTGAATAAGTACTTACACAATATCTTTGTAGATCAATAGATGTCACGCGATCGTGAGGGTGTGGGTGTGAACCAAAAGTTGGATTGTTCCATTCAAGTTGCTTATCAAATCTGACAGGATCGTTTTTCTACAAAACTAGCAAAACAGGAAGGGCCAATACTTATATGAATAATATAAGTATTTTACTCGGATATGTTAATGGAACTTGTGCAATACAAATTAACTTCCCAACTGGTCCTAATTCGAATCTACTTTTGATCGCTATTGGTAATTTGAATAGTGACAATCGTCTGCGTCTTACTTATGCCTACAACAGCGTACCGCTGGTGTGAATACTAGAATTAATGCAATGTATTGCTTTTCACGGTCGCACTTACTTACTGTTATAATTACATGGCAAAAACGAAAGTCAGATACATCTTGATACCACTAACAGGAACGCAAATGTTTCAACTGTATTATTCGTTGGAAGTTATTATTCAGATTTTGAAAATAAAACAATATATTCAACCAGCTCGGGTTCACATCCGTACTGAGTTGCGATTGGTGATTTCAACAATGGCAAATGGTCAGACATCGCTGTCACAAATTACGGCGCTAATCACATTGGTGTAGTACTTGGACATGGAGGTGGCAAATTTGGAAGCATGACAATCGATTCCATAGGAGATAAGCGTCAATCATTATCAACCGAAGTGAATGACATTAACAACGATACTTTATTAGATATTGTCATTGCCAATTCTAGAACCGACTGTGTCACTATATTTTTTAGAAAAGGTAATGTGACGTTTGCACTCTTAACAGCTTATTCAAGAGGAACTGACTTACATTCAGTGTCACTTATCATAGGTGATTTCAACAGCGAATACTGCAAATTATGACACAGACACAGTACTCGTTCTGTTGAAGATATACTCGTGATCTAGTTTTCACAATAATTTTTATTATGTTTGTAAAGTGCGGGCAAGAAGGGTGTAGGGTGAGCAGGGAGGCAGTTTAGTTCAAGAAAAAATCCCACTCTCACCCTGACTCCATATCCTCGTGTTCACCCATATTCATACCCTTAACAAATGAGTTCGATAAACTTTGAATCAAAAAAAGAGATGTTTTTCTTCACGAAGACTCGTCATAAGTAAGAAGTTGAAATCAATGTATTGAAACGAACATTCTATTGCAACTATCCAGGGCGACGTTATCTAATGTATGTTTTTAAGTTTTTGTTTTTGAATGTATATAAAAAAAATATTAATTTTAAGGGCACAAACGTGGTACCCTCTTCATGGACACCAACATCCGTACGTAACCGGGTGTTCCGAATCATCGATTCAAAGGATTTATTTTGTTCTTATATAAATCTCTGTTGAAAACAAAACAAGTAGATAAAGAAAGGAAAGAACAATGTTTTCAATTGCTACCTAAAAGATTCAATGAAAACATAGTCGATAGAAAGGTGAATAAGACTTTACAGAAAAATATCCCAGACTTCTGTAAATCTCTCTCGACAAATAGGACAAACAGAATGAAGCTGTTCACGGATACGATTTGCACAATCGGCACACGTGCACATATGTTTGCACGGGATAAAAAGGCAGCGAACAGTTTGTGCGAAGCAAATAGAACATTTGAATTGATCCGCTGCTTCATTGGTCATTAGTGGTGATGATCCAGTTCCTGAATCTTGTTCACTCGATGAACGTCGGTTGAAGTTTGATGAAGATGAATTTTGTTGGTTAAGAATTATTGAGAAGGGCATGACGAATGTACTTTTCTGAGATATCATTTGCCTATCAACAACGATAAAGTAGCAATCATATTTGTGCGGCATTCGTTTTGAGTCGTATAAATAGACAAAACCACCATCGGGTGCTGGCGTCCATGGGACACCATTTCGTCGAGAACTCTTCAATCGCTCGTTCGGATTAATGAAGCAATAGTATTTGATACCGACGTCTATCAGTTCCGAAATAGTAACATCCTAGAAATTATACTCAAACGAAATTTTCCAAAAAAAACATTAAATCAAGCAATATTCCACTGAAAACGATACCTGAAAACGTCCTTCCCTAGACAAGTGCTCAGTATACTCTCCTTGCCACAAATAAGGCCCATCAAAATGAAGACCATTGTCTGCTTTGACGAGACAATTGATTCGTAATGTCTTGAAAGTGGATATATCTAAACGAAAGTAAGCGAAACCGCCCAGAGCAAGAAAAGTGTAGTCCGGATCGCCTCTAGCCAATTTCCGATCGATTTTGGTTTTACTGTTCTCAGATAATTGGGTGAATCCGGCCGGTGGATAGACCCAGCAGAAGTGCGTGGCACTTCGCGGTATTTTTGCTGCATCGCGTGCTGTATCATTCAATGTGACAGGAGCTATTGGCGCACGCTGACCGACATTTGCTACTTCAGGACAGTTGGCAAGAGCAATCAATCGTTGATTGAGATTTACTGTGTACATGTCAGATTCTTGTGTGATAGACAGAGAAATATTTGTCTCTTGAATGCCTTAGAAAAATTATGTTAAATGTACTCTTCATCATTTTAGATGTATTAAATAACCTACCGAAAGGCCCAAGCTGTTCAAGTCGACGCTCTGGAGCAATGGATGCGGGCATTTCGGAGCGGTCGGCAGTTGGTTCCGATAATTGATGAATGAGATCACTGTCACATTGGCGGTAGATCCAACCTATGCCTCTCTTGTGAAAAAGTACGCAGTTTTCCGGTATTTCCTCGTTTTCCAGCTCACGCACAATACACGTAGGTACATATTTTAGTCCTCTCGACATGGTTGATTTCACCACTGAAACACGCGTAATCTAAAACAAAATTTGCAAAAATGCACCAATGAGAAAAAGAAAGAAATTCGTTTACCTAAGTCAGAGCACAATTTATTTTCCATAAAAACCATCGAACTTCTCCTTCTGGAATAAGTTCAAGAAGAAAAAAACGCGGTGCAAGTATATAAAAACCGGCATAGATTTCATCTTTAGAATAGTGTATTCTACAAGCAAAAGAGACTGACAAAAAACAAATATATCATAGTTAAACAACGTTCGCATGGAGAATATCGGAGTGCGTGAGTACTCATGAACACAAGCGGAAAATCAATATCTACGCTTAAACATACTCCCATTCACATTTACATCTACTCTAAAACTACTGGACAATCTAAAAAAACCTGACCCGTGTTACTGAGATAGTCATCCAAACGAAACGAACAATGCAGGTAGTGAAGAAAAACAAAAATAAAACGACGGATGAACGAAATAAAGTAGAAATCATCCGAATTCAATTCACTTTGTCATCTTTCTCATAACACGGCGTGCATCTGAATTCAGTTCTCATGTTGAACCTTGACCCCTGTTGCAACTTCTCACAGTAAATATTCGTTGATCTGGTCAAAACAGTGATCGACTGATTAATGTGTAATAGGCTACAAAAAATATTCATATAGGATCAAAGATGAAAAAAAACATGAATGTATGACGAGATACTAAGTGTTGGTACACAGATGAAGTGCAATCGCAGCTACCATAAAGGTAATGGGCACGGTTGATCAAAACACGCTAATCTCGGTTTGTTTTACACGTTTCAATTTACAGTGAATTAATTTAAACTATAACAATTGCTTGGATAGAAATTCATCATCGTCATCAGAAAAAATGCATGACTTTAACAGTAGTATAATGAATAAGAACAGAATCTAGTATTTTAGACTAGCATTCGTTCGGAACAATCAAAATTTCATTAGAGATTATGTATCAAGAGTTATCTTTCTTCTTCCAAATACCGGGATACTCATAAGAATCATGTATTTATTAGTACAATTCGCAGACGAATGACTAAATTTACTTCTATAAAACAAGAAATGTATTAAAATTTGGTTCAAGTTTTTGAAAATTTAATGTAAATCCATCGACTCTTACTTCTTTCTTGTTTTCTCTCAAAAGTTTTCGTCTCAACGAAAAAATTTGGAATTTCAATTATCTGATGTTGCTGAGTCAAACTTACAGTTATCAGTATAGAAATGCAATGTCTATATATTATATTGAATTGAAAGATACATTTTGAATTTATCCGATCGTTTACAAAGTTTTGAAAGGCTTTTCATTGCGTTTTCTATGTCAATGATAGCCATATCACTAATTTCACATTATTTGTTTAGCTTCGGGTTTTCCTGCTAATTTATTTGAACTTAAATTTCATGTCAATCTAAACTCACAATAAATTTAAGTACGAGAATTTACAGTTAAAATAAATTAAAACAGTTTTACACTAAAAAATTTAGAACTAAATATTCTTTAATTTTATATTTTAGAAGGTAATGAATTTTTAAAAATATGAACAAATCAATCCTAGTATTTTCACAATATTAATTATGACTTGTTCAGTGGTTTTTACTGTTTCAATATTCTAATTTTTTTGTCAAGTAAAAAAAAACACAAATAAGCAAAAAAGCTAATTCTTTTTCAAATAAAACTTTCATTGGGAAGACTTAGCATATGAAGTGAAACTTAAACAGTCAGTTTTATCTCATTGGTTGGCCCTTATAGTGGAGGTGTTTGTGTTGATAAGTGAAAAGAGAGAATATATTCATGTCAAATGAAAGCACTCATCGCCAAAAGAACCAGATTGAGATATTAGCGCTGTTGACTTGGTTAGAGGGAGATATTCGATTTTGGCGCTACTCATCATTTGGATGCATAGGAACAATAGGACTATTTGCATTCATTTTTTTATATTCCATCCATTGAGTGATTCCATAGTAAGCCGACGAGAATCTTCCTGAAGTTTATCAATAATATTAAGATCAAATTAGTTTCAATATCTTCTGGAACTTACATAATATATAATATTATATATAAAGGTTGGCCAGAAGGAATCGGAACCTCAGCTCATCGTTAGCCTACTATGGAATCACTCAATGGATGGAATATAAAACAATGAATGTAAATATTCCTATTTTTCCTATGCATCCAAATGATGAGTAGCGTCAAAATCGAATATCTCCCTCTAACCAAGCTAACAGCCGTAATATTTCAACCTTGCTCTTTTGGCGATGAGAGCTTTCATTTGAGATGAATATATTATCTCTCTTTTCAATTATCAACACAATTTTCGAATGAAACAGATTTAATACCTATCACAATGGTGTCAAATTTTACTTCATAGAATGGCATTTTTAATGGCAATACGAATCTAAATATTCGTGGAAGCTTTTTTGTTAAAATCTCATGTTTTCCAGACAAACAATCAGAAAAGCACGTTCTTTTAGTAACAAAAAAATCATTAAAATATGCATTCTAGAGTATCCACAAGAAAAAGTCGGTTTTGAAGAAAAGAATCCATTGATAAAACAACTCACTGAGAACCAAAGCAAACTAAAGGACATAAATGTGTAAAAATAATGCGTTCGAACGATGTCATAAAGTCGCATTTTAAGTCGAACGAAGTCGTTGAAAACAAAAAGGATGCATTTCAACACGTTACCTGATGCATTAAAACGCTGTGCCGTACAATTGTTTTTCGTGGTAGCGAACAGAGAAGAGAAAATGTTGACTTGCCTGTTCGAGTATTCGAAAATGTACATGCTAGCTTGTGACGTTTTTCATTTCTTTCATGCCTGTCGTGTTGGAATAAAACGCGTTTCTGTTGCATACCGAGCACTTTTTCAAATTCCGAGAAAGAAAAACAACGAAAGAATAAAGGTCACTTTCTTACGGTTGTTTTAAAAGAAGAAAAGCAACAAAGAGAAAGCGATAGTGCGTTTTATTTTTGCTAAAAAGTTTTGTCTCTTGCTCTTATTCTCTCGTCGAATTTGATAATATTCTTGATGTTGGTGAAACACACGTTTTAGTGCGAGACAAATAGATATCAAAGAGAGAAAAACAACTTCGCAATCTGCTATTCAATGCATACGATATTTGAGCGAAGAAGTCGAAATTTTTTCTCCTGTCTGCGGCAGAGATTATTCGCTGAAAAGGAAGATTTCGAGAGCTAACACGAAAGAAAGTTGAGTTAACGCTGTTTGTGCAATCATGGTGATGGCATTCATGTTAGTTTTACCCCTGACCGTTTGGCTGGGCCTGATGTTTTCGTCGGAACTGTTATATTGTAATTGTTGTTGAGTTCAATATCTTCGTCTTCTGATTGATCTAAAGGTAAATCGACACCTAAAATATCATTGCAATTGTAAATATTAGCATCATTGTTACGGGCCTACTCTCACATATTATTATGTCATTCCTTTTCTTCTTCTATCTAGCCATCCGCCACATCTATCGTCATATATATGAGTGAATTGCGCTGACATTATGCGGTTTGGAGAAAAAAATCGAAAAAAATAAAAGTAAACAGATGATAGATTTGACCCGTGCATTCGATAGAGCCTTATTTGTTGTATATGAGTCAACTATTCTCCCCACTGTCGGGGTTTCCATTTCAGAGAAAATTGAGATCTCAAAATATATGAAAGGAAAACGCATATTTTTTTAGCAACGCGCTTTATAGCTAAGTTCTTTTCAACATTGTTTCGCGATAACAATGAAATGTCTAACAATGTCTCTCAGTCGATAGAAGTAAAAGAAGATGAAATAATAGCATATTTTCTCTGAATATCTATCATATTAATCTGTTGTGACATTTTTTCGGTAGAATGCTAT